GCCCACAGCAAAAGCAGGTGATAGAACTATGTATTATATAGTCCCATCGCCTGCTTTTACTGTGGGCGTCTCCATATTGAACTTTCCAATAAGCAGAACAGGAGAAACTGTTAATGTTACACCAAGTGAGGATTATATCCATCGCACTTGAAGTTACATATAAATAATTTCAGTTTAACTGATCACCCCGTGTGAACGACAGTGTGAGGGATTATATCCATAACATACATTTTAGAGTAAACACAAAATAAATAAATTTATTATTGATTGACTACATCGTGTGAAGAATTAACGTGTAACATTGACGGTTCCTCCTGTTAATACTATAATACGAATTTAAAAAACTTCGAAAAACACATAACAAAAATAAATTGGAAATTTTGAAAGAACTTGCAAAAAAGCCACAATTTAAAAACCTTGCAAAAAAACAGATTTTAGAATACAATAAAAGAAGAAAATAACAAAATAGATACAATATGACGTAGCTCGCCAAAGACCTGTATATTTTTAAATTTCAAATAATCAAGCATAGTATATAACTACCAGTTTGACATCTCTATCCTTTATATCTGATGTTAATAGAGCTTTTTGAAGACTTGCTTTCTTCTATTTCTTATATTAACATTTTATTCTTAAAATATGAGTAAAAAGTTACAAACAAAAAAATGTTATCAGAATAGAGTAAATATTAGAAATTTAATTTTGCCAAATTTGTACTAATTTTGCCCAAATTTATATATATTCTGCTCAAATTAAACACTAATTTGCCAAGATTTTACTCTAATTTTATATTCGAATTCTGCTCAAATTAAATCTTAATTCTTCTTTAATTCTGCTCAAATTTATATTTAAGTTTTGCTCAAATTAAACCCTAATTTTGTACCTGAATTTAGAATTCTGCTCAAAACTAGGTCTAGGGTTGTATAAGTTATGGTAAGCTAAATATCCATATGAATACGCAAAATCCTTGGTAAAAAGTTATATTGAATAAGGTCTAAAAGGCATTCTTTTTTTTTTTGTTATAATATATATTTTGATTTTTTTCTATAATTTTGTCCGGAATTGATTTTGCCTGGAGTTATGCCTAATTTTGCCCGGAATTGTGCTTGAATTTATAATTTGATTTTTCCTGGAGCTATACCCGAAATTATATTTTAATTTTGCTTAAAATTATAATGAATTTGCCTGAAATTATGCCTAATTTTGCTTGAAATTAAAATTTGATTCTGCCTGGAGTTACACTGGAATTAATTTTTGATTAAAATTATATTGTAATTTATGTAACACAACCAAATATTATGTTAATATGCGACCAGAATAATGTTCCGCACGAACCAGACCAGATCCTGATCTTTAAAAATACCCGCCCGGTCCGGTTCGTGCAGAACACTAATTTCATACAAAAATTATAGCTATTTTCATAATTCCTGGAACACATAATAAAAATTGGCCGAATGATTTTTCTGCCGATTCGATTAAGTTTGTAAGTTCGGCATAATAAAAACCGTATTTGTATCATAATGACTGTTTTACAGATCGTTTGTAACTATAATGTCAACATTATTAAATTTTCATTCGAAGGCTTATTCAACATGTTTAGTGTGTCAATAAGTCTTAATAAGAAGTATAAAAAAGGAACTATATATTAATTATATAGACTTTTATAATAAACATATTGTACGAATTGGAGTACATATTAAAAGAAGTTCCTGTATAATATTACTTTTATTTGTATATACGAGTTGGTTCGTAGCCCTTCAAATTGTCATAACTAATTTTATGTTCCACCTCGGATTGTAATTCATTAAACACCAATCAGGTTTTTTTCATTAAAATTTTAAGATATTTGTATCATTCATGTTTAGTAAACGTGGTTCTAAAAGTAACGGAAGCTTTTCAAGACATCCATGATATATTAACACCTAAGTGTTCGAAACGATATGCCTTCTAAATTTTTTTTAAACTATTTTCTAGCGAAGATGCTTTGAAAGTATCATATTTCTGCATTCTACCAGAGATACAATATTCAATAATATTTCTATTAGCTACTTGATCCTAAATTACGTATATATATCAATTTTATTGAATCTATTATGCCGAAATCACAAACTTAATCGAATCGGCTGAAAGATCATTCGGTCAATTTTTATCAGGCGTTCCAGGAATTATGAAAATAGTTGTAATTATAATTCCAGGCAAAATTAAAAATAATTTCAGGCAAATTAAATTATAACCGTAATTTCATGTGACTTTATACGTGTTAAATACAGAAATATTAAAGAGGCACAATATATATGATAAGTGGTCTAAAACTATGAAACGTGAAATTAAAAATTATAACACTAACATTCATATAATTTCGGTCAAAATTAGGCATAATTCTAGACAAATTCATTGTAATTTCAAGCAAATTCCAGGCACAATTATGCATAACATTAAATTTTAATTTCAAGTATAAAATCAAATATTTTCAGACAAGAAACAACCTCTTGGGTTCCAGATGTGATTAAAAATTTAAAATTTTCTTTAAACATTAAAAAAAAATATTCTCACCGGCCTATACGTAAATCATGTGATTTTCATATAGACTGTAGTACCCATAGAATAAGTTTATATAAAATTTTTTACTGGCAAGGGAGATTTAAAGCAACTTAATTTTTTTGATGCATTTATAAATTTGATCAACTTTTATATTTTCTTTGAATATTTTCTTCAATCAATTTAAAAGCTTCTTGACATGAACCCCAACTTGAAGAATATCCTATTCAAAAAACAAATATATATGATTAATAAATATTATTTTTATATTATACTGTTTTGTATTTTTAAATGAATTACCATAAGAGTGATGCCTATAGTTATGAAAAATTATAACATCTTTATTTGTAGCATTCTTTATAATCTCAACTTCTAATCGAATACCATTTTCTCTATAAGGTCTTCGCCTAACATTATGTCTTATAATTTGTAAATTTCTATCTTCTAATATTAGTTCTGGGCACAATTTAACACATCATTGAATGATATCTTCAGCAGTCTTTTGATCTGGGGTTTCAGAACTACTTTGAATAGTAACAAATTAACGCGTAATGGAACAAAAGCATGCATAATAAATCGATTTAAAATAAAATAACGATGAATTACCAATTGTTTATTTCCATAGTTCCTCCAAGAATCACATCCCCACCTTTTCTGGAAATGATAAACATAAAAGAATCGTGGTCTTATCAAATTTAATAAAATTAATGCCTTTTTTTATAGGTTTAAGTATGTTCGATAAAATGGTATTTACTAGTTAGAATATGTACTGTTTTAATATGTGGTGCCCAAACTGAAATGGTCTGGCCACGTGAAGGAAATACTGTGTTATTTATCACACTACCGAAAGTTCTAGATTGACACCTGTGCAATTTATTACCACATCAATTTCATCATCAGCAAAGAATGATTCATTAAGATGAGAAAGATGAACTTTTTTTCTTTTTCTGCCATTAGCAATGAATTGGTCAAGTAACCATTGTAGATATTTTTGAACATTTAAACAAACTATTATTAATAAACATTTAAAAAGTATTATTTGCACAAAATACAAACATTTGAATATAAACTAATTGTGAACTTGTTATGTAAGATACTCCATATTCGACACCAGATGGCAGTTCTTCTAGAGGTACTACTTTGAACTATAATAGAGGTGATTTGAGCAGATAATCTACAAAGATTTGCAATCTTAATTATAACAAAAATAATACCTCTGGGACAAAATCTTTAAACCAAATATCATCATTTCTCAAATCAGGTTTTTTATCCATAAAATCATAAATTTGTAGATGCATTAACCCAGTTTCTGGGTTCTAAGATAGTGACCAAAATTCATTTTATGAAATTTTTTTAATAATATAATTACTTCGAGAATATAAAATAATACTTATTATTACATCTATTAAATTTACTATAAACTCTTTTGTTTTCAATATAAAGACTAGCTCTCACCCCAAACGTATTGCTCCAAAATTAGTAAATTTATTAAATCCAGTTATTTAATCTATTTTTAGATTTCATTAGTTAACTAAATAATCTACGGATAGATTATTTAATGTTCAGTTCACATCATTTGTTTCTTTATATTACATTTAAAGCTTAGATTTTGATTTAGAAAATTTTTCTAAGGCAAAACTAATTCAAAACTAATTACTGCAAGACAAGAAATGCTAGAAATAGTAATTGTAATTTATTGTTTATTTAATCTTTTTTTTTTATAAATATTAATTCAAAATTTTCTTTAGTTAAAAAAATTTTTTTGGGATAGAATTATTGTAATTTTATTATTTAATCATTTTTATTATTAATTCAAAATAAAGATGAAATCTTCTTTCAAATATTATAAAAGATGAGTAATAAAAAATAAATAAAATTGACTAAATAATGACCAAAACTAGCACACAATATTGATTAACATTAACTAGAAATATCGTTGATCCAATTAAAGTTTTATTCATTCAATTGAAACAGCAATACTTCAATAAATAAAGAAATAACGCTTTTCGTATTTTTCGACAAATTAGAATTAGATTTAATTCTAAAGTTACATTTACAATACAATTCTATATTAGCATATACTGAAAAAAAAATTAGATTGATGTTTTAAATTTTATGTAAATTGTAAAACACTGTTTAATTAAATGGCTTGGTTAATTTTAAAAATTTTAGTATTAATAAGTACGTATTAATACTAAAATTTTTAAAGTAATCTTCGATAATCAAGTTCTGCTATTTACTATTGTAAATATCTTGTAAAACTTTAGGATGTTAAGTCAGCTGACAAATGAGTTATCTTGCTTCTGATAGTAACTTTAATAAGTTATTGTAATCAAGTTCTGCTATTTACAATTGTGAAACTTTAGGGGTCAGTTGACAAATGAGTTATCTTGCTTCTGACAGTAACTTCAATAAGTTATATAAGTTATTGTAATCAAGTTCTATTGTGAAACTTTAGGG